TTGTTGTTGTTGTTGTAATTGCACATTGTCTCCTTGCCCAGTGCCTCTAAATTAGCTAATATTAGTATTCCTGTGAATCAGTCCGATGAGTCCTGAATCCACTATAACCCTTTCAAGGAGGAGAAACCCTCCAACTTGATTTGCTTGTATCAACCAAAGATGAAATGTGTGTTGAAAGCTCCAAGAGAAAAACCCATCGCTTGGTTTTTTACCGTTCTATGGTTTCTCCTTTAAAGGTTCTTTTCTACACTTGCAGACAGACCGGGATGGGGCTGGGCAGCACCCTGGCCCGTGTGGGGGGCATAGTGGCACCAATGGTAAGAATGACGGGGGAATATTTCCCGTACCTCCCACCACTCATATATGGGACGGCCCCAATCCTGTCTGGGATCGCCGCCATCTTCCTGCCGGAGACACTCAACGTGCCACTCCCGGACACCATCGAAGAAGTCGAGAGCAGGTGAGCTTCTCCTGTTTATAATTCATTGGATGGTGGCAGATGGATGGGCATCTTCTGGGAGGGCTTTCATTGTGTGTCCCTGTTTGGCAATCGATTGGACTAAATGACCTTTGGGTGGCCCTCCATCTATATTGAAGGCAACATACTATTTTTGGTTACCCTCCATATTGAAGGGAACACATTGCTTCGGAGGGTGGTGGATAGATGGGTATCTTCTGGGAGGGATTTCATTGTGTGTCCCTACATGGCAAGGGGCTGGACTAAATGACCTTTGGGTGGCCCTACATCTATATTGAAGGCAACATACTATTTTGGGTTACCCTCCATATTGAAGGGAACACACTGCTTCGGAGGGTGGTGGATGGGCATCTTCTGGGAGGGCTTTCATTGTGTGTCCCTGCTTGGCAAGGGGCTGGACTAAATGACCTTTGGGTGGCCCTACATCTATATTGAAGGAAACATACTATTTTTGGTTACCCTCCATATTGAAGGGAACACATGGCTTCGGAGGGTGGTGGATAGATGGGTATCTTCTGGGAGGGATTTCATTGTGTGTCCCTGCATGGCAAGGGGCTGGACTAAATGACCTTTGGGTGACCCTACATCTATATTGAAGGCAACATACTATTTTGGGTTACCCCCCATATTGAAGGGAACATGCCTCTTTGGAGGGTGGTGGATGGGCATCTTCTGGGAGGGTTTTATTGTGTGTCCCTGTTTGACAATTGATTGGACTAAATGACCTTTGGGTGGCCCTCCATCCGTATTGAAGGCAACATACCGCTATGGGTTACTCTCCATATTGAAGGGAACACGCTGCTTCGGAGGGTGGTGGATGGGCATCTTCTGGGAGGGCTTTCATTGTGTGTCCCTGCTTGGCAAGGGGCTGGACTAAATGACCTTTGGGTGGCCCTCCATCTATATTGAAGGCTACTATTTTGGGTTACCCTCTATATTGAAGGGAACGCACTGCTTCAGGGGGTGGTGGATGGGCATCTTCTGGGAGGGCTTTCATTGTGTGTCCCTGCTTGGCAAGGGGCTGGACTAAATGACCTTTGGGTGGTCCTCCACCCATATTGAAGGCAACATACTGCTATGGGTTACCCTCAATATTGAAGGGAACACACTGCTTCGGAGGGTGGTGGATAGATGGGTATCTTCTAGGAGGGCTTTCATTGTGTGTCCCTGCTTGGCAAGTGGCTGGACTAAATCACCTTTGGGTGGCCCTCCATCTATATTGAAGGCTACTATTTTGGGTTACCCTTCATATTGAAGGGAACACACTGCTTCGGAGGGTGGTGGATGGGCATCTTCTGGGAGGGCTTTCATTGTGTGTCTCTGCTTGGCAAGTGGCTGGACTAAATGACCTTTGGGTGGCCCTACATCCATATTGAAGGCAACATACCACTATGGGTTACTCTCCATATTGAAGGGAACACACTGCTTTGGAGGGTGGTGGATAGATGGGTATCTTCTGGGAGGGCTTTCATTGTGTGTCCCTGCTTGGCAAGGGGCTGGACTAAATGACCTTTGGGTGGCCCTCCATCCATATCGAAGGCAACATACTATTTTGGGTTACCCTCCATATTGAAGGGAACACACTGCTTCGGAGGGTGGTGGATGGGCATCTTCTGGGAGGGCTTTCATTGTGTGTCCCTGCTTGGCAAGTGGCTGGACTAAATGACCTTTGGGTGGCCCTCCATCCATATTGAAGGCAACATACTATTTTGGGTTACCCTCCATATTGAAGGGAACATGCCTCTTTGGAGGGTGGTGGATGGGCATCTTCTGGGAGGGCTCAGTTACATCCCATTTAAACTACTCTGATGGGTCCTCCAGGTCCTCCAGTGCTCCAGTGATCAACATATACCTGTTGTATGTCAGCCTGTTCAGCCTGTGATTGTGTCTGATGTTGGGAATGATGGTCATGTTGATGTGCATAATGGGAACGGGGATGACGTTCCTCTTGATGGGCCTATGGATGCTGGTTTGCCTAGGCCGAAGTTAAGTTCAGAAGGCCACATTCCTGGGAAAGACCTTTCACTGCTTTTCTCAGAGCAACAGCCTGAAAGTGATGAGATTGCTGTGCTAGGTGCAGAAGGAGGATATTGAAACCTTCTCTCCTGACGTTTTGCCCACATCTATGGCAGGCATCCCCAAAGGTTGTGAGGTCTGTTGAAAACTAGGCAAGTGGGGTTTATATATCTGTGGAATGATGTCCAGGGTAGGAGAAAGAACTCTTGTCTGTTTGAGGCTAGTGTGGCCACCTTGATTAGCATTGAATGGCCTAGCAGCTTCACAGCCTAGCTGCTTCCTGCCTGGGGGAATCCTTTGTTGGGAGGTGGGTGGGAGAAAGAACTCTTGTCTGTTGGAGGCAGGTGTGAATGTTTCCATTGGTCCCCTTGATTAGCATTGAATGGCCTAGCATTTTTCAATGTGCGGCCACCTTGATTAGCATTGAATGGCCTTGCAGCTTCACAGCCTAGCTGCTTCCTGCCTGGGGGAATCCTTTGTTGGGAGGTGGGTGGGAGAAAACTCTTGTCTGTTGGAGGTAGGTGTGAATGTTTCAATTGGTTACCTTGATTAGCATTGAATGGCCTAGCAGTTTTCAAGGTGTGGCCATCTTGATTAGCATTGAATGGCCTTGCAGCTTCAAAGCCTGACTGCTTCCTACCTAGGGGAATCCTTTGTTGGGAGGTGGGTGGGAGAAAAAACTCTTGTCTGTTGTAGGTGGGTGTGAATGTTTCAGTTGGTCACCTTGATTAGCATTGAATGGCCTAGCAGCTTCACAGCCTAGCTGCTTCCTGTCTGGGGGAATCCTTTGTTGTGAGGTGGGTGGGAGAAAGAACTCTTGTCTGTTGGAGGCAGGTGTGAATGTTTCCATTGGTCCCCTTGATTAGCATTGAATGGCCTAGCAGTTTTCAAGGTGTGGCCACCTTGATTAGTATTGAATGGCCTTGCATATTCAAAGCCTGGCTGCTTACTGCCTGGGGGGGGATCCTCTGTTGGGAGGTGTTAGCTGGCCCTGATTGTTTAACGTCTGGAATTCCCTAGGATACAATCAGGCTTGCTCAATAGGCTGGTCCTAATTATTATATGAACAGCCTTTGGTTGGTTCGTAGCTAAACGTTTTGGACAAATGGTCTCCTCCGAACCTTGCACGTTTCTATATAAGCCTATATGTCCCATGTTGACCTTTATGGCATGACTTCCAAGGAGAAATCAGGCTTGCTGTGAAGGTAGAGCAACACCAAAGAAATAGGACCCTCAGTGTTTCTGCATCATCTACATAGGAAGCCCTAAAACTGTGCTTCTAGATGTTTCACATAGGATTAAACTGTGGAACTCAATGCTACAAGGTCTGATGGTGGGAGATAGATTGCAAGTGTGTTCGAAACAAAGCTGAGATCCATAGCTATTTCCCTGTTTTCTCTCCAACAGAAGGACGTCTGAGCAACAGAGCCTCCCTTCCAAGGGCCAAGAGCAGGTTTTGCTCCAGAAGATGGGTCAAGGCAACTCCCAGGAAGATGGACTCTGCTGAAATGGGGGTGAATGGGCTGGAGATCTTCCTCTGAAGATCCTCCCATGACCTCCTCACCGTCTGGGGCTCCTTTTTGGGGTGGAAGCCGCTGTGCTGGGATGGAAGCTGACCAAATAAAGACATTTCAAGCATGGCTGCCTCTCGTCTCTCTCTGTAATGAAGGAACAGATCACAAATGATCCGGTTGCATTGATGCGCCTTCCCCAAACTCACCAAGGGCCCCATGGAGAGCCCATTCCTACAAAACTTGGAATTCTTCATCATGAAGGGCATCCTAACAGATACATCTGTCTTAAAACAATTATTTGGAATATATATAATTTTACTATTTATTCAAGATGAAGGCCAATTTTCATACTAATGAGATGGAGGCGTTTGTTTTTGCAAAAAGAATTAAATCTTGTCTGAATACAACAGGGTTAAAACCAAGCGACAAAACGCAGCACTATTAGAATACATAAAATATAGCACATGTCTTTCCTATAGCTGCACTGCACTAGGACCATCTCTGTGCATTGACAGGAGGGGAGAGAGAGTTTCATCTCTGCTGACGATTGCGCCATCACTGCCCAAGCCGGAAGCTTTGAAATGGTTGAACAGAAGCTCTCTGAAGCTGGATTCAAAACGATCTTGGCAGATTAGAGAGATGGGCCAAAACTAACAAAATGAAGTTCATCAGGGACAAATGCAAGATACTCCACTTAGGCAAAAAAAATATGCAAAGATACAGAATTGGGGACAATGCCTGGCTCGAGAGCAGTACGTGTGAAAAAGATCTTGGAGTCCTCATGAACAACAAGTTAAACATGAGCCAACAATGTGATGTGGCAGCAAAAAAGCCAATGGGATTTTGGCCTGCATCAATAGGAGCATAGTGTCTAGATCTAGGGAAGTCATGCTCCCCATGCTCTATTCTGCTCTGGTTAGACCACACCTGGAATATTGTGTCCAATTCTGGGCACCACAATTCAAGAGAGATATTGACAAGCTGGAATGTGTCCAGAGGAGGGCGACTCAAATGATCAAGGGTCTGGAGAACAAGCCCTATGAGGAGCGGCTTAAGGAGCTGGGCATGTTTAGCCTGAAGAAGAGAAGGCTGAGAGGAGTTATGATAGCCATGTATAAATATGTGAGAGGAAGCCACAGGGAGGAGGGAGCAAGCTTGTTTTCTGCTTCCTGGAGACTAGGACAGAACAATGGCTTCAAACTACAAGAGAGGAGATTCCATCTGAACATGAGGAAGAACTTCCTGACTGTGAGAGCCATTCAGCAGTGGAACTCTCTGCTCCGGAGTGTAGTGGAGGCTCCTTCTTTGGAAGCTTTTAAACAGAGGCTGGATGGCCATCTGTCAGGGGTGCTTTGAATGCAATATACCTTGCTTCTTGGCAGAATGGAGTTGGACTGGATGGCCCATGAGGTCTCTTCCAACTCTTTGATTCTATGATTCTATGAGATAGTATATTTCTGTGTGTGAGAGAGATATAGCATCATAGATTTGAAAGAGACCCTTAAAGAAGGACTATGATATGTTGCATATTCCAGAGTAGGCAAACCAGACACTCTCCACATCAACACTGACAAAGAAACAACAAGAAATACTGTTTACTCACAAGCATAAAGGAATTACATATATTAGAAACCAACACTTTCTCATTACTTTATTTTCCAGATCAACAGACTGGGCCACAGCAACGCGTGGCAGGGGACAGCTAATAATAATAATAATAATAATAATAATAATAATAATAATGGAATTTTTGTGTCAAGTTTGGTCCAGATCCATCATTGTTTGAGTCCACAGCGCTCTCTGGATGTAGGTGAACTACAACTCCCAAACTCAAGGTCAATGCCCACCAAACCCTTCCAGTGTGTTCTGTTGGTCATGGAAGTCCTGTATGCCATGTTTGGTTCAATTCCATCATTGGTGGAGTTCAGAATGCTCTTTGATTGTAGGTGAACTATAAATCCCAGCAACGACAATTCCCAAATGACAAAATCCATTTTTTTTTAGTGGAGGACATAAATTGGACTGTTAGAGAATACGTTTAAGCAGAATAATAATACTAGATGCCAAAGTATGTTAAGTGTATTGAATAATATGTATGCCAATGCCAATAATAATGGGGAGAGGAGTGACCGTTTAGAATGCTCAGGTGTGAAAGATGACCGTTGGAAAGGTCAGTTGAGCCTCGAGCCTGTTCGAAGTGAGAGTTGAGCCTTGAATGTAGAAGTCTGTCAGAGTGCAGAAGCGATTGTTCGGAAGTTGAAACTGTGTTTTTTTATTTGAAAGTAAACTATTATTAAAGAGAGCTATACAAAGTAATATAGTGGGTGAGATTTATTTATTTAGAACTTTTATATACCGGTCTTCTCACCTTCTCACCTCCAACGAGGGACTCAGGCTGGTTTACAACAAGGGGGTGTCTCTGTAGATCTTAGAAAACTGGGTTTGGGCCTGCCACTTTTGGACTCTCGCTTGCTGCGGTGTTCCAGCGAGTGTCTCTGTAGATCTTAGAAAACTATTTCTTGATTTAAGTCGTTGACGTGCTGGCTGATACCCAAACAAGGGATGAGCTGGAGATGTCTCTGCCTTGGTCCTTTCACTATTGGCTGCCACTTCCCGGCGGATGTCAGGTGGTGCGATACCGGCTAAGCAGTGTAATTTCTCCAGTGGTGTGGGGCGCAGACACCCCGTGATAATGCGGCATGTCTCATTAAGAGCCGCATCCACTGTTTTAGCGTGGTGAGATGTGTTCTACATTGTCCATGCGTACTCAGCAGCAGAGTAGCACAGTGCAAGGGCAGATGTCTTCACTGTGTCTGGTTGTGATCCCCAGGTTGTGCCAGTCAGCTTTTGTATGATATTGTTTCTGGCACCCACTTTTTGCTTGATGTTCAGACAGTGCTTCTTGTAGGTCAGGGCACGGTCCAGAGTGACTCCCAGGTATTGGGGTGCGCTGCAATGCTCCAGTGGGATTCCTTCCCAGGTGATCATAGAATCATAGAATCAAAGAGTTGGAAGAGACCTCATGGGCCATCCAGTCCAACCCCCTGCCAAGAAGCAGGAATATTGCATTCAAATCACCCCTGACAGATGGCCATCCAGCCTCTGTTTAAAAGCTTCCAAAGAAGGAGCCTCCACCACACTCCGGGGCAGAGAGTTCCACTGCTGAACGGCTCTCACAGTCAGGAAGTTCTTCCTCGTGTTCAGATGGAATCTCCTCTCTTGTAGTTTGAAGCCATTGTTCCGCGTCCTAGTCTCCAAGGAAGCAGAAAACAAGCTTGCTCCCTCCTCCCTGTGGCTTCCTCTCACATATTTATACATGGCTATCATATCCCCTTTCAGCCTTCTCTTCTTCAGGCTAAACATGCCCAGCTCCTTAAGCCGCTCCTCAAGGATCTTCAGAGCTCGGGATGCTTCTCTGTTCTTGAGATGAAAGGCACATGTCTGTGTTTTAGATGGGTTGGGGATCTGCTGGTTTTCCCTGTAATAGGCAGTAAGAGCACCTAGAGCAGTGGTTCTCAACCTTCCTAATGCCACGACCCCTTAATACGCTTCCTCATGTTATGGTGACCCCCAACCATACAATTAGTTTCCTTGCTATTTCATAACTGTCATTTTGCTGCTGTTATGAATAGTAATATAAATATCTGATATGCAGGATGTATTTTCATATACTGGACCAAATTTGGCACAAATACCCAATGTGCCCAAATTTGAATACTGGTGGGGTTTGGGTGGGATTGATTTTGTCTCTTTGGGAGTTGTAGTTGCTGGGATTTATACAATCAAAGAGCATTCTGAACTCCACCAACTATGGAACTGAATCAAACTCCCATGACCAACAGAAAATACTGAAAGGGTTTGGTGGGCACTGACCTTGAGCTTTGGGAGTTGTAGGTTTTTTTTTGGGAGGGGGGGTGCTTGACATCACATCCAGAGAGCACTGCGGACTCAAACAATGATGGATCTGGTCCAAACTTGGCACGAATTCTCAATATGCCCAAATGTAAACACTAGTGGAGTATGGGGAAAATAGACCTTGACATTTGGGAGTTGTAGTTGCTGGGATTTATAGTTCACCTACAATCAAAGAGCATGCTGAACCCTACCAACGATTGAATTGGGCCAAACTTCCCACACAGAACCTCCACGACCAACAGAAAATACAGTATTTTCCGGTGGTCTTTCATGACCCCTCTGACACCCCCTCGCGACCCCTCCAGGGGTCCTGACCCCCAGGTTGAGAAACACTGAGCTAGAGCTTCGGAGAGCTTCTGTTCTACCGTCTCAAAGCTCCCTGCTTGAGCGGTAATGGCACGATCATCAGCATAGATGAAACTCTCTGTCCCTTCTGGCAGTGGCTGGTCATTTGTGTAGATGTTGAACACTTGCTGGAACACCTCAGCAAGTGAGAGTCCAAAAGTGGCAGGCTCAAACCCAGAACCTCAGCCAATGGCTGGTACCAAATGAGAGACTCCCCCCGGGCACACAGAGGACTGGGCGACTTGGAAGGCGCTGAACAGACTGCGCTCTGACACCACAAGATGCTGAGCCAACCTTCAGAAATGGGGCCACAAAGTGGAATCCACGACATGCGAGTGTGGAGAAGAGCAAACCACAGACCACCTTCTGCAATGCAACCTGAGCCCTGCCACACGCACAAGGGAGGACCTTCTTGCAGCAACACCAGAAGCACTCCAAGGGGCCAGATACTGGTCAAAGGACATTTAACCAACTACCAAACTCACAAGTTTTGTATTTTGTCCTTTCTTAGGTGCCATAGAATATAAATTTAGAGATTCTATTTTTATTCCCTCCCGCTACCCATTTTTTGATGGCGCTCTCCCACTTCTTAAAGAGTTTTGCAGAGATGTTTACTGGCAGACACTGAAATAAATGTAGGAATTTGGGTAAATGTTAAGTCTAGAAGTGATGTCCTGAAAAGTCTTCCCCCAGCTGTTAAGTAATTTACTTGTGGTTTTCCATAAGTGGTGGAAGTTTGATTGGAGCCCCAGGTCTCAGCGGTGACCAGGGGAGCATTTGCACAGCTCAGGCTCATGCGCCAGCTGCGCCCGT